CCTCCTCCTCCTCCTCCTCCTCCTCCTCCTCCTCCTCCTCCTCCTCCTCCCCTCCTCCTCCTCCTCTCCTCCTGCCTTCTCCTCCTCGTCCTCTCCTCCTCGTGTGTTCTCTCTCCCCCTCCTCCTCCTCCTCCTCCTCCTCCTCCTCCTCCTCCTCCTCCTCCTCCTCCCTCCTCCTCCTGGTGGTCCTCGTTCTCCTCCTCTTGGTGCTCTCCTCCTCCCCCTCCTCCTCCTCCTCCTCCTCCTCCTCCCTCCTCCTCCTCCTCCTCCTCGTCCTCCTCCTCCTCCTCCTCCTCTTCCTCCTCCTCCTCCTCCTCCTCCTCCTCCTCCTCCTCCTCCTCCTGGTACTCCTCCCCCTCCCCTCCTCCTCCTCCTCCTCCTCTTCCTGGTCGTCCTCCTCCTCCTGGTCGTCCTCCTCCTCCTGCTCGTCCTCCTCCTCCTCCTGCTCGTCCTTCTTCTCCTGCTCCTCCTGCTCCTCGTCCTGCTCCTGCTCGTCCTCGTCCTCCTGGTCTTGCTCGTCCTCCCCCTCGTCGTGCTCTTGCCCCTGCTGAAAATGTAGCCCAGGAATGGGAGTTTTGGGAAGTCGAAGAGCACGAAGTTGCCTACAGTTGGCTACGGGCATTCAAAATGTGGCCCGGGAATGGAGTTCTGGGAACTCGAAGAGCACGAAGTGGCCTACAGTTGGCTCCGGGCATTCAAAATGTGGCCCGGGAATGGAGTTCTGGGAAATCGAAGAGCACGAAGTGGCCTACAGTTGGCTCCGGGCATCCAAAATGTGGCCCGGGAATGGCGTTCTGGGAACTCGAAGAGCACGAAGTGTGTGACTGTTGCATCCGGCCCCCCAGAATGTGGCCCGGGAATGGCGTTCTGGGATGTCGAAGAGCACTTTGTGTGTGACTGTTGCATCCGGCCCCCCAGAATGTGGCCTGGGAATGGAGTTCTGGGAAGGCGAAGAGCACGAAGTGTGTGACTGTTGGTGAAAAACGAGCCCGGCTCATGCCGCCCGGAAACGCCCCAACACCTGCCCGGACCCCCCTGTGGAGTGATCTGTGAGCTCTTTTGAGTCAACTAGAAACCTATCAGTCTTCGCTGTTAGGTAAAAAGAGAGGAGGAGGAAGAGAAGGAAGAGAACGAGAAGGAGGAGGAGGGGAGACGAGAAGCGAAACGGGAAGGGAGAAGTTGCGACCGCACCGCTCTATTCAAGCAGACAACCCAACGCAAAGAGGGTTGGGGCAAATCTTGAAGGGAATGTGGCCGCGGCCCCTGCGACGTACCCAACGCATCTGCACCACGTGACAAGAGTAGCTGGTCCTGATTCGGGTGACCGATGAAAATTTCAGATATGTCATTGGTTGTGCAGCTGCGCATAATCTACGAGAATTGCGCGCGTCGCGCGACTCACAGGACAGCAAGAAAGGACGTGGATGAAAGCCCCAGGCTCGAAGCAGAAATGGGGGTGGGAACGGGACGGCAGAGGAATGACGGAAGAGGGGCCGAACAGTTCGCGCGACAACAGCAGTGCGGCAGCAACAACAACAAGAGGACGACAACAACACACGCAAGATGAAGAGAGGAGGTGGCGGTCATCTTCCGGCTGCACGCCGGGCAAAAAGTCGCGGCCCGCGCCATATCGCCCTGGCGCTTCCGAAAAGAAGATCAGCCGTTCAGAAAGGAGCCTCGCCCACCATGATGGGCCTGTTTTCCACCACGACCACCACCACAAGTTGGAGGGGGGGAGGAGGAGGAGGAGGAGGAGGAGGAGGAGGAGGAGGAGGAGGACGAAGAGGAGGAGGAGGAGGACGAAGAGGAGGAGGAGGAGGAGGAGGACCCCTCCCCTCCAACTTTATGGCGGTGGTGGTGGAAGACACGCCCATCACATCATGTTCCCCGCTTCCATCCTGCACCGTGCAGCGCGGGAGCCACAAACGCCAGCGGGCGCGTCGCCCTGTCTCCAGGGCTTCCGCGGGGCGCCGCTCCGCTGGACCGCACAGGAGGCCCACGGCAGAGGCGGCGGTTTCGCAGATCGCAGCCACCCCAGGGATGGCGAGGTCCAGTCCAGGCCCGCGTAAGACGTCACCCTGCAGGACCCCCCAGGCATCCCTCGAAAGCGGCGGCAGCGTCGCAGATCGCAGACTCCCGCGGGGATGGGTAGGTCGAGCTCAGGTCTGCGTACGATGTCACTCTGCTGGGCCCCCGCAGCAGGCATCGAACGTGACGGCAGTTTCGCACACCGCAGCCCCCCCAAGGATGGCGAGGTTTAAATACAGGTCCGCGTAATACGCCACCGCGCTGGACCCCACAGCAGCCATCGAAAACGGCGACAGATTTGCAAATCGCAGCTCCCCCCCAGGATTGGCGAGGTCTAGTTTAGGTCTGTGTATGACGTCACTCCGCTGGACCCCCCAGAAGCACCCGAAAGTGGCTACAGCAGATCGCAGCTCCACCAGGGACAGCAAGGTACACTTTCAGTCCACCAAAGGCGTCACTTCGCTGGATCCCCCGGCAACCCTCGAAAGTAGCGACAGCGTAAGGACGTCACTTCGCTGGACCCCACAGCAGCCCTCGGAAGGGTTGGCAGTTTCGCAGATCGCAGCCCCCCCCCCAGGGATGGGGAGGTCTAGCGTAGGTCCGCGTAAGACTTCACTCCGCTGGACCGCCCAGCAACCCTCGAAAGAGGTGGCAGTTTCGCAGATCGCAGCTCCCCCAAGGGATGGCAAGATCTAATCTGCGTCCGCGTAAGACGCCACTCTGCTTGACCCCCCAGCAGCGCTCGAAAGTGGCGACAGCTTCACAGTTCGCAGCTCCCCAGGGATGGTGAGGTAAGGACCACGCAAGGTAGAACAGAGGAGGAGGAGGAGGAGGAGGAGGAGGAGGAGGAGAAGGAGAGAGAGAGAGAGAGAAAGGCAACGGGAAGGAAGGAGTTGCAACCGCAGTGCTTTATTCAAGCCGCCAACCCGATGCAGGAGGGTCGGGACAAATCTTGAGAGGGGAATCTGGCCGCGGCGACGACGAGTGCTCCCCAAAGTGAGGACATCCGCCTGACGAGCGAGGGACGCAACCACAGGCAGCATCGCGAGGCAGCGTCGGGCGCATGCAGACCCTGCGCCACTGGGGCCTTTCGGCGGAGCCCCCCCTCATAGGGGACACGAACTGCGTGAGGGGTGTGCCAAGCTGGGCATCGGGCGCACGCAGACCCTGCCCCTGGGGCCTTCGGTGGAGCTCCTCGTGGGGCCACGAGCCGCGCGAGCGGTGTGCTAACATGGGCGTCTCGGGCGGCGGACCCTGCCCCTGGGGCATCCGGCCGAGCTCCCTGTGGGTCCACGAACCGTGCGAGGGGTGTGATGATGATGCTGGTGGTGATGCGGATGATCATGATAATGCTGATGGTGATGATGCTGCTGCTGCTGATGATGACGCTGCTGATGGTGATGATGATGATGATGGTGGTGATGATGATGATGATGCTGATGATGCTGCTGATGATGATGAGGGTGAGGGTGACGATGATGATAATGATGATGATGATGCTGATGATGCTGCTGATGATGATGATGAGGGTGAGGGTGAAGATGAGGATGAGGGTGATGATGATGGTGATGCTGATGATGGTGATGACGATGATGACAACGACTTGTTTAACAGGGTCGGGGCTCAGGGGGGGCGGGGGAAGATCGGGATTTCAGTACCAGAGCCCTCTGCCCGCTCGCTGGCGGATCTGTGCCGCTGTGCACTCCGCGCACGTGCAGGTGCAAAAAGGGACAGGGCCCCGCACAGCGCGCGTTCGACGGGGCGCGCCGACGCCGACCTGCAATCCAGACTTGTTCAGATGGGCCCGAGGCCCTGACGTGGAACACGGAAGAGTAGCGAAGCTACATCCAAACACGAAAGGTGGAGCAGACCTCCAGCGGTCTCAATCACATTCAAGAATCTGGGTAGAGCAGACCAGTGATGATGCTGCTGGTGCTGCTGATGATGATGATGGTGGTGATGATGATGGTGGTGATGATGATGGTGGTGGTGATGATGCTGCTGATGATGATTGTTATGGTGGTGATGATGATGCTAATGCTGATGCTGATGCTGATGATGCTGATGCCGATGATGATGCTGATGATGATGATGATGCTGATGATGATGCTGCTGCTGATGATGATGATGATGCTAACGATAATAACGGTGATAGCGGCACGCGGAGAGCAGAGGCAGGTATGAGAGGAGGGAGGAGGGGGAGAAGGAGAGGCGAGGAGGAGAGGAGGAGAGAACGCGGGACGCTGTCTCTTCAAAACGAGGACCCAACACCACAGGATGGTCGTGAAATATTGCAATTCATCGTCGTTGTCGCTGTCGTCGTCCTCGTCGTCGTCGTGTCCACACCGGAAGGTCTCTCGACCTCTTGTCCGGGGCTTGCATTTCATCCCGGCAAATTTTTTTGACGGGGTCCGGGGCCAGTTACAGGCAATCGGGTGAGGATACACATGGAATCTCTGAGGTCTGGTGGCTCTGGAGGATGTCTCGGGCGCCGCGGCCTTCTCCTAGCGTTCAGGAACGCTCTGAAAGCGTTCCGGACCGCTCTGGAACAGACTTGTGCTAGTCCCAGCCCGGCCCGATGAAAGGAGAGGCGGGAAGGAGGCTTCTCTGGCCGTTCTGGGGCCATCTTGGAGGCCTCTTGAGCGATCCTGGAGCGATCTTTGGGCCCTCTTTTTTTGCCAGATGTCCAATCATCTTGTCCGCAAAGGTCGGCAAAAACACGGAGTGGGTGAGGATGCGCGGCGCGGGGAAACAACGCAGGGGAAAGGCTCGCAGAGCGCGGAAGCACGAGTGAAAGCGCGGCGAAATAGCATCGGAAAAAAGTTTGCAAAAGGAGAGGGGGGAGCAGGCGAAATGCCACAGCCGCAGCTCCAACGGCGGCCCCGGCGGCCGCCACGGGAGCCACAGGCCCCCCAGGCGGCGCGGCGGCCGCGGGGCCGAAGAGGACGCTGAGGCGCGGGGGGGGGGCGCGCCAGGTCGATCGGGAGCACTCGTCGAGAAGCACGCCCTCCACGCCGCAGATGAACCCGAGCGCGTCCAGCGACAG